ACAAATTTTAAAACTGTGCGCGATTACAATTACAAGAATTGCATAGTGTTCTTTTAAATCGATCGATCGATAAACATTACGTGTAGAAAAAAAAATGCGTTTCCTTTTAAATTACGTGATTGATTTCGTCACGAAGACGATCTGTATCGCGATAAATAACATCACGTTCGTGCAAATCAAATATGTAAACAAATGCACACGTTCCTTAATTATGACGTAATAAGTTTCCAGAATTTTTTAAATAATTTTAAACAAAGCGTTCCGAGAAATTTTTATTTGACTGTGTTTTTTATTTTTAAAGATACTTAGTCTCCATTAAACAACACACATTTACAAATATTTATGAACTGAAATAGCTCATACAAGGAAAACTCCGTGATGAACAAGATTCATAATATATAGTTTCCCTCGCATTATTGAACATTTAAATTATTGTGGCGATAACGTAACTCACACTTGAATACTTTGGACTGTCCGGTGCGTATTTTACTTCACTATCACTACATAGTATAAAACAAAGTCGCTTTCTCTGTCCCTATATCCCTATGTATGCTTCAATCTTTAAAACGCAACGGATTTTGATGCGTTTTTTTTTAATAAATAGAGTTATTGAAGAGGAAGGTTTATATGTATAATACCATCCATTAAATAGTGGAGAAATCAATAATAAATTACAGTTTCCGAAGCGAAGCGAGGGCGGGTCGCTAGTCTTAATATACAATCGGGCTGTTAATGATTTTGAAGCACTATTAATGTGGCCAGTTTGAATAATAAATATGCGTGTTTTAGGACATTTTTTTAACACAATTTCGACACGCCAAAACTCTAATATTACCATCGATTTTGAACAATAAAACTTTCGGGTTTCTTTTGTAGTACGACGGACATTCTAGAAGCCGAAACACAATAGGTATTTATCTTCAAATTATCTATAGTTTGATAACTATAGTGGTTTAGGTGACGGACATTCTTCGCGTCACACGACACTCTACATTCTACGCGTCAGCTGAATTTCAATAATCACACAAGCGTGCAATGCATATTACCTACATTACTAAATTGCTATTTTTACGTAATCCTTATCAGTAATCTTCAAGTCGATAACTTATACAACAACTCGCATAATACGTAGCGTAAAATCATTCGTAACAACAAAATACTACGAGTTTTTTGGAACAAAGTTCCTTATGGGACGATGCGGAGGGGTACCCTAACCGGAAAAAAACGTCCGTAACGTAAGATTTTTATAAGTAATGCACACAGTGTACGACTTATCTTTGTAATAATGTACAAAAAATAACAATCTTTTTTATCATTCATTGACCACGATCTCAGAGCGTTCGTTTGCGCAATACACTAACTCTTATGCAAACAACCGTGAGTGAAGTGTACCACAATAAGTTCGCACGTTACCGAATAACCGTGGGTTGTTGCGAAACCTCCAGTTTTATTTTCTTTATACCTCGAATAGAACTTTAAATTAATATTTTTATAATAAGGAACTTCGTTCCTATCCGGTGTCCCACGACACCACACATCTTTTTTAACTTATTGACTGCCATGAAGGTCACCGGTGCCCTTTTTTTTTTATTGCCCTTGTAGGCAGACGAGCATACGGTCCACCTGATGGTGAGTGGTTACCGTCGCCCATGGACTTCAGTAATGCCAGGGGCAGAGCCAAGCCGCTGCCTATCGTTTAATACTCTCCACAAGCCTCGTTTGAAGAAGGACATGTCATAGCGCTCGGGAAACACCGTGGAGGGGAGCTCATTCCATAGCCGGATGGTACGTGGCAAAAAAGACCTCTGGAAACGCACTGTGGATGACCGCAGTGGCTCCAGGTAATATGGATGAACTCTACTCCGGAGGCGGGCGATGCGATGGTAAAAAAGAGATGCCGGTATCAACTCGAATAATTCCTCAGAGCACTCCCCATGAAACATACGGTACAAAATACAGAGGGAACCGAAGTCCCTCCGCAGACCCAGAGGTTTCAAACGATCCGTGAGAATGGGATTATCGACAATCCGAACGGCCCTCCTCTGTATGGAGTCAAATGGAAGAAGCTGGTATTTGGGAGCCCCGGCCCAGAGATGAGAGCAGTACTCCACGCGAGTCCGGACTTGTGCCCTACGTGGTGCACTGAATTAATTGTATCGCTTTTATTACTAAGGAATATCTAGTAGACTCTGGGAAAGACGAATCCGAAAATACTGAGAATCAATCTATTCCTAAGAGGCCTGAAAAGACTGAAAGCATACATTAAAAACAAAAGAAGGCAAAGTTAGGCAATGCAAGCGCCTTAGTAACAGAAATCGACCTTAGTACTACAGAGCGCCACGTAGGACATCGGTAACCTACATAGCAGTCAAAGAGTTAAACAATCCTAAAAATAAAGACACTATCATGAACGTGCTTCCGTTCAAAATTATTCTTCAATTGTACCAATTACGGACGTGATTTAACTTTTTTTTTTAATACCTGTTTAAAAACATTATACTGTGTGGAATGTTTCGTGCATATACATTTGAATGGTTTAAACAAAAATCGTGACTTACCTTGACGTTACAAAACATAAGAAAATGTGTTTTCACTCGTGCTATTACTTACCCAGCTGTTCGATAATGGCGTCGCTTTAAAGTTTTGTCTTTTAACATACGTTCACCGTAGAGCAAACATTTTAAAACCTAACTCGAAATTAATCTCAACTTATTAATTCATATTTATTAATATCAATATTCGGCTTCACCTTAAGCCGAATTTACATTACGAAATTAGTGGCGTGAAATTAATTTCGTGACATTAGTTTTGCCAACAGTTTCACGTGTAATTTAATACTTTCGTAATGCATGCATTAATTTCATGCATGCAAATTAGTTTCGTGCCCTGCGCGATTTTTTGGTGAAATTAGTGTCATGCAACTAATTTCATAGTGTAAACGCGACGTGAAACTAATGTCGCGAAAGGGCCTGCGCTGTGCGGACGTGTGTATTGTTAGTTCGGACGCGCTTCAAGCTTTGAAAATGGCAAACCAACGATGGAGTACAGAAAAAAATATAGATCTTATTAATGAATATCAATGACAAGGGTCCCGAAACACCTACAGTAAAAAATCGAAATTATCTTCACTCATTCGTAAATAGTTTTTATAACTCTCAGGATCTTCATCTGCTAATTCAGAGACTAACTTCATTGCACCTAAATGCCTTCTTGTTGACCATCCTCGAATCTACCAACTTTTTTTTTCTTGATAGTCTTTTTTTAAGTTTATAGGTATATAAGCATTTCTTTAGCTACATTGAATATAGCAAATTATAGCTTTGATGCTGAAGGCGCCATGGTTACTGCGATACTGTGGATTTCGCGACACTAATTTTTTAACGAAATTACTTTCGCATATATCGAAACTACTTTCGTGAAACTGAGTTCAACATGCATGACACTAATTTCGTAATGTAAACTCCGCATTATGGAAACAACCGTGAATGAAGTGTACTACAATAAGTTCGCACGTTACCGAATGACCGTGGGTTGTTGCGAAACCTCTAGTTTTATTTTCTTTATACCTCGAATCGAACTTAAAATTAATATTTTTATAATAAGGAACTTCGTTCCTATCCGGTGTCCCACGACACCGCACATCTTTTTTTTTTAATACGTAGCTGTAATTTCACATCTTTAGAGTCAATAACCGTGGTGCGCGGTCGCGACACTTTACATGCAATGTTTATTAAAAACACAACACAATTGCTTTCAAGGTTAAAATATTCATTCATTTCAATATGAACAGACAACATTCGTATCAATTACCACACCAAGATGCGTATTAAGTGTCGTCGTTGTTAAAGCCGAATTTACATTACGAAATTAGTGGCGTGAAATTAATTTCGTGACATTAGTTTTGCCAACAGTTTCACGTGTAATTTAATACTTTCGTAATGCATGCATTAATTTCATGCATGCAAATTAGTTTCGTGCCCTGCGCGATTTTTTGGTGAAATTAGTGTCATGCAACTAATTTCATAGTGTAAACGCGACGTGAAACTAATGTCGCGAAAGGGCCTGCGCTGTGCGGACGTGTGTATTGTTAGTTCGGACGCGCTTCAAGCTTTGAAAATGGCAAACCAACGATGGAGTACAGAAAAAAATATAGATCTTATTAATGAATATCAATGACAAGGGTCCCGAAACACCTACAGTAAAAAATCGAAATTATCTTCACTCATTCGTAAATAGTTTTTATAACTCTCAGGATCTTCATCTGCTAATTCAGAGACTAAGTTCATTGCACCTAAATGCCTTCTTGTTGACCATCCTCGAATCTATCAACCTTTTTTTTCTTGAAAGTCTTTTTTTAAGTTTATAGGCAGCAAGCATTTCTTTAGCTACATTGAATATAGCAAATTATAGCTTTGATGCTGAAGGCGCCATGGTTACTGCGATACTGTGGATTTCGCGACACTAATTTCTTAACGAAATTACTTTCGCATATAACGAAACTACTTTCGTGAAACTCAGCTCAACATGCGTGACACTAATTTCGTAATATAAACTCCGCATTATCAACTACTGACCATCACAAGAAACCTGAAAACCTTACGCTACACGCCCGATCTTGAAATTGAGACAATGCGCGGGCGTATACCACCGTCGTTGTCCCTAAGCCACAAACACTTTCAAAATTCATATGTATAGGTACAACAGAATATAACGAGTATCTTATATAAAATATAAAACGAACATAACTTTATAATTCAACAATTAATATTTTTTGCGCTTAGTTCGAAAACTAGATTCTAAAGTAAAAAAAATATTATTGAAAACAAAACACGAAATCAAATCCTTAATTAATTATATACTAATTTAATATTGTTTGTACCATTGCTACACACGTTACATTTCTGTTAGGCATATGTATGTGTGTATGTGTATATGTATGTATGTGTACTGTTGTTGCTTAAAGATAACGTTGTTTTGTAAATAAACGAATGTAGTCTCACCGATAAGACCGCGATTGACTTCCTCAACGGCCCGTTCGATAAGTACGAACAGAGACCACATGACGCAGAGGGCCGCCACACAGTGGAAAAGAACCGCGCAGCACAGACGTCTCCGCTCAACACCGGACATCTCCAGCAAACGCCACTGCAATGCACATACATAACACATTCATTTTTTTTATTTTATTGCTTAGATGTGTGGACGAGCTCACAGCCCACCTGGTGTTAAATGGATACTGGAGCTCATAGACATCTACAACGTAAATGCCGCCACTCACCTTGAGATATAAGTTCTAAGGTCTCAGTATAGTTACAACGGCTGCCCCGCCCTTCAGACCGAAACGTATTACTGATTCACGACAGAAAGAGGCGGGGCGGTGGTACCTACCCGTGCGGACTCACAAGAGGTCCTACCACCAGTAAAACCCGCATACCGCATGCATGCATACCCGATCCTGTAGACCGAATGGTAAATAGTCGACGTCGCTCAAAACACGTCATTACGGATCCTCCCGATCCATTAACGGTGCTTTTAGGTACCACAAGCACCTGTCACCGTTCTCGTCGAACCCGTTGCGACGAAGTGCTCGACGAGCGAACAAACCCATAGACACAGCCCACTGAGTTTCTCGCCGGTTCTTCTCAGTGGGTCGCGTTTCCGATCCCGTGGTAGATTCGGCGAAGCACTGCTCTTGCTAGGGTCAGTGTTAGCATCACTCCGGTTTTAGCTCCGTGAGCTCACCTACTAGTTAAGATTACGCTGGAATAGCATCTGAAGGTTATCAGCTTAGGTAAAAAAAAAAAACATTCATGCAATACTTTGATCAGAATTGCGATTCGACACTCTCAACCGTTCACGAAAAAGCTCATTATAAAAGTAAGACATATGAAAACGTAACGTTTAAAATACAATACCTAGGTAATGTGTTTTAAATTCTTCTAATTTAAATAATAATGGCGGTTTTCGTTTACAAATGAGCATGTAATTTCCAAAACTGAATCACTTATATTAGATACATGTACCTACCAGCAAAACATGTCAATTATGTTTAATAGTAAATAATAATTTTATTACGTACATAGTTTAATTAAATAATTTATCCTTAATTGTACTGATTTCTAAATTTTAAACGTTCAATTCTATACTAAAATTAACGAGTGAGGCTTCATTTGTAATTTGGCTAAACAGCTGTAGGCAGATGTGATTGTGTCGTAAAAAAAAACGATTCAAAGGATTGGACTGGAGAATAGACAGTACAGTTATCTGAGTATTATACACTGGAGTACTGCGATTGCCAACTGGCATTTACTGGCCTATTGTAGCTTGAAAACAGAATACTTGTAGGTAAACATGCAGGATAATTAGTTATATCAGTAATAGTAAATAATACGTATGGTTATTATTATTCTCATGACCTCACAAACTTATCTAATAAGCATCAAAGCTATCTGGACAAAATGGTAACAATCCAGAATTTAATGCATACACGAACATAAAAAAAATAAGTGGTACCTTAAAGCTTGGAATGCTATAAATAGGCGACTACCAATTCATTTAATTTTATTAAGCAGCCAGCTAGCTATCCACTAAAGTGAAATAAATTCATAACATATGTAATAAAATTATTAAGTATATAGCAATTAGTAAATTACAATGTGTGACCTTGAATATTATTAAAAATTGTATTTGAAAATAACCAATTGTTAAATACAAAAAAAATAACACGGTATTTTACATAACACTTCTTCCAACGTTTTCGGTTTTAACGTATCTGAAGGTTATGTTTTTTTTGTGTTCAAGACGGCAGGCCTCGACGCGCAGTGCAATCAACGCGGTATGTACACAGCCATCAAATCATTTGTAATGACTCATGATAGATACATAGTTTACGGTTATTTTAGTGCTTATAAAACACACACATCAACAGATCGTGTTACATCATGTTGCACTTAGGATTATGAATTCATTTTTTTTTCAATTCTACTTATCTGTAATAATTGTAACATCTGAATATTTTAATGTACCCCATAGTTATGGCATTAAAGTACCACTGTATTTGTAGCAATTAAACTTTATTTTAAGTTATTACTACGATTATTATTAAAAGAACGAATATAAGATGCGGGCATTTAGGCAGCGGTTTGGCTCTGCCCCTGGCATTGCTGACGTCCATGGGTGACGGTACCGCACACCATCAGGTGGGCCGCATGCTCGTCTACCTACAAAGGCAATCAAAAAAAAAGATGGAATTATTGTTAAAATTCACTCTAATTATGTATAGGGAAAATCATGCGTATAATGTTTGATCGGAAAAACAAAATGGAACAACAACTATTCGACCAAGGATAACAATCGACATTTTCGTCACGTTCGTCGAACAATTGAGAATATCCTTAACTATTTATCAGTGGTAGTGCAACCTAAACCTCTTTTATTTTATTTTTAGAAAATATCGACAATAATTCATTATGTTTAACGACATTTTTATTACGACGACGGTATGGTAACCGGTATTTTGTGGAAATCAGACAATAAACGAAATTTAATCACCATCTATCTAATAAACCGCACTATGCATTGTATTGTTGCACCAAACATTTCATTCTGCAGCAAGATCTGGGCTATTTAACCCTACGCTTTTTCTAGACTTTGTCATAAGTTTATAAAAGCTAAGGTTATCCAATGCCGAAAGTCGAACCTCAATGAATTATCTAAAAGACAGGTTCTCATGCCTCTGTTAAAATATATTTTGCTAATAGAAAACAAGTCTACTTAAGTAGATAGCGCAAAAAATTTGACGGATATTTTATCAACAAGTGATATTTTTTCCTCATATGTTTTTGCAATTATACTGTACATTAATTATATACAAATTATAACTGATGAACTGAAGAATAAGTACTATATACGAACGGAACTGTGATCCGTTTTGAGATCTTCGTAGGTGACAAAATAATTAATTAATATATAATTATCTAGAAATGGCTTCGTTTGTGGAATGCACACCTGATATGTACCTATACGAAATGCTGAAACATTAAGTAGCTTTACACGATTGATTAAAGAGCATTAATTAAACAATTAGTTGTCAATTTGTTTAATTTGTGTTAGGGTTAAATTTCTAATTAATATATAGATACAAAACGATGGATTTACATTGAATAAATATTGTAAAATGTGATATTTATATGTAAATTGTTTATTCACCTTTATGTGTAAAGTAGTAATTGTTTTTTCATAAATAAGTATAGTACCGCGGTGAATTTCTTTACTGAACTGATCTTTGTCCACCTGATAGTTACATGGAAGAGATCGGTCTTAGGAATAAAACCGCCCATTTTACTTTTCTATTTAATTTTTTGCATTGTATTCATTTTGGTATACAATACAGCATACCGTCGTTGTTTAACGAAAATCTGCTATGTGCACTTTTTGAGATTTTTACTTTTTGACCTTTTCGTATAGTTAACAGCCCTATCTACCGTATAAAAAAAAATGTTATGTGTCTATAGCTTTCACATTTATCTATAGCTTTCATTTGATATAGTTCTTAAAAATTCACTTTCATATAAAATTTTATACGAAAATGTTTTACTCGTTAATTCAAAATAGAATTTTGCACATAGCAGATTTTGGTTTCACGGCGACGATCCCCTACTTTACTATACCCTAAATTTGAATAAATTTTTCACAATGTGAATGATCAAAAGCAATTATCAAACGATCATAAAATATAATAGGAATGTGTTATAAGTTGCGTACCTCATTGAACGGTTTGATTTTAGTGTGCATGATGAAGTTAAATTTGCATAGCTCACAAGATCTTGTCTCGGATGCCGTCAACCACTGCTGCAAGCAACTCTGGTGTACGTATTTAAGGCTTCCTGTAAATAAATAGCACATCAAGTTAAACGTATCAAATACGTATTTTATACTAGTACATAAGTTCCAGCATTCATTTGTTACTAGTAGTTCCCCTTGCATTGATTTAAGGCTATTTTGATATTTTTGCGATTTTTAATAGTTGACAGATAAGAGCAAGATACCTGAACACAGCCTTACACAATTTATCAGACTTCAATTTTGTTACAGCATATTTATGTACCCAAAAGTATCTCCTACATTTTGAATGTAATTAATGTATACGGCTGAGTCCTATAAATAATTATTGCTTTATATCATTAAAAGGAAGAGAGGTCGCCCCAGAACAACTTGGCGTCACTCGGTGGAGCAGGAGCTAGGGGTCTTGGGCATGACGTGAGAGGAGCTAGAACAGACTGCCCAAGACCGATATAAATAAATATATTATATCAATTTTAATTATAAATTTGATTCGAGCCCTACACCCCAGCAGAGGGTAATAGGAAAGAATGATGATGATGATGATATGATTAAAAAGGTTTTATGACTATTTATATCGATTACGGTAGAAAATGGACAAGTGAGTCGTCTATTATCAATGGTGGCAATCTGTGCATTTGGACAAAAAAATGTTATTGATATGTCAATACAGATTGATTTGAATATAATCGTCTCCTTCAAAGAATACGGTTCAAAACCTGCATTAAATAAAGGTTAATAGTTAACCTGTTATTTATCTAAGATGTCGTTCCGAAGAGTTTTGTGACTGCCAATGGAATACAAAGTCAATAATTCGTTTTTCTGATTTACCAATCATTGTCCAAAAGTCAGATTGCCGCCTTTGATAATAGTCGACTTATATATGAGTCGTCTATTATCAAAGGTGGCAATCTGTGCATTTGGACAAAAAAATGTTATTGATATGTCAATACAGATTGATTTGAATATAATCGTCTCCTTCAAAGAATACGGTTCAAAACCTGCATTAAATAAAGGTTAATAGTTAACCTGTTATTTATCTAAGATGTCGTTCCGAAGAGTTTTGTGACTGCCAATGGAATACAAAGTCAATAATTCGTTTTTCTGATTTAACAATAATTTTTCAAAAGTCAGATTGCCGGCTTTGATAATAGTCGACTCAAGTATGGACACCAATCCAATATTTTTTGATACCACTGGCTATTGATTAATAAGTTTTGATTTCAAATCATCAATAACAGTACAACAGACAAATTTTAAAACAAAAATTAAATTTCAATCTAGGGGCATCCGAGATTATGATGGAATGACAAACATTAAGCAATTAATAGTAAACAATACATTTAAAAACATCACAGTTTATATAAAATTTTAACACACTTTAAGTGTTCAATTACTCAATTTATGTGACACATTTTAACCCCATTATTTTCAAAAACCTTAAATAAATAAATTTGATCCCTATCTACTTATATGATTTTTTTATCATCATCAGAAATATAACATCATACACTTTAGGATAATGTGAGACCACATAATGAGCCAAAAGATGATAAATCACTAATTTAAGTAATTAAAAAAGGAATTTTGTAAACAAATAGATGGCAATGTTACCAAACAGAAAAAAATCCATCACAACAGCCATTGCATTGACCTGCAATCAAAAATATTATTAATTGCAGGCCACTAAACTTTCAGTATTGATAAAAGGATAAAATAATAACTGCAACAATTGTGTCATCAATGACTCATGGCTGGTGTCTAGTGCTTATTTACTAATTGGCAGGCTAATTATCATATGTACATTACATTACATTACTTACCATATCACTGGGGCATGATATGGGATCATTTTATAATGTCAATTAATTTAATTTTCAATGTCTAATACAGAATTATTGAAGCATAAGAGATGATACTCACTTTCGATCAAACAAAAATAACAACAATCTTCATTATTTTTAAGACAATATTTAATTTGTTAAATTACAAAATATTTCAGGAATTTTTATAGTTCATATAGGAATTTTGCTTTTACAAGGCAAAGCTGTAGTTCAATAAAGCTTATCAGAAGGAACCGAGATGTCAATGTGTATGTGGTTTGGAACTAAATATTTTTGAAAGTTTAAAAACATTGCATTGGTTATTTATGATATATTTTAATGATAGTTTTATTTGTGCATAAATTATCAACCATACATTATTAGTTTAAATCTGAACATTAATAACTTTGTTACATTTTTTTTTTAAAACAAGTAAAATTTAAATTATTTTTAATTATTATTTATTGAAATATATTAATTATTACTGCCATAGTTATCTTTTTTTATATTTTATTTTATATAATTTGTATCTGAACACCACATCAAAGAAAAAAAATTGTACAAAAATGAAGTTTCAATAGATTTGTAAGTAACAAATAGCTTATTTGGAATGACAAAATATTAAATTACCAATTTATCATGTAATTCAACAATATAATTTTATCAAAGTTCTTGACAATAAATAACTATACTTAGAATATTTACTGATGGTTTTGAAAACTCGCAAATCTAAGTATCTGGACACCACAATTTCTTACTACAGCTTACTACAAATATTTTATATTGAATGAATTTAATTTATTAATTTAAATTTCCAAAATATTTCATTATTAATATCTGAACATAAGAAAATCAGTATGTCACATAGTATTACCTGAACAATAACATGGGGCCAACAATGGGTTCTGTGGTTCACTCTCACAATGGCATATACGACAAATATCTCCGCTGGAGTTGCTGCATGATGTTTGACTGCTCCCAGACCCAGTCCGTACAGTTTCTCTACCACAACCACCGCCCCATTCCCAACTTTCAATTTCCGATGAATTCTTCACACTTATTTGTTGAACGGGCATTATTGAAAAAAGTATTCACACAAAAGTTACAATAAGTTAAAATACATTTTCTATTTACTTGAAAACTAAAGTGGCATTCGTGCTGAATATGAACATAGCAGCCTAGATTTCACGAAACCATCCTTCACGAGCAACATTTTCTCATTTGTTATTTACTAAGCGTACGACACGCGAAAACAATTACAATTCTAAAATTAATTCCAAAAATAACACTGCCAGCACAAAACGTAGTTATGTATCTACACCATCTACACAAAATACAAATGTAGAAATTTTTTATTGACATAAAACAGCCTTATTTTTTTTACTGGCATTGGTAACAGACCTATTGGCCAAAAACAATCCAACACTACAACTTAAGTACCTATGTATACAATGCTACAACGTCTACAGCTTTGAGACGGTCGCTATGATCCTATTGTTCCTAATGGAAGGTAAAATGAACGAGACCCATAGAGCAAAAGACCGATGCCGTATCATTAATAATTACGAAATTAAATGAAATAAGGTAGATCACAGGACACCTTAGGTGTTAGATAAGATGAAATGAAATATTATCTTGAAATAGTAAAATCGTAAAAGTTATTCAGAGATTAATAGATTTTTTGAGAGAGCCTTTGAAACAATTTTTAGCGATTTCTTTTCATTTTCTCCCACTTGTATAATCCTAGAAACCAAACGTCTGTCAACCAAATACATATTACATATTTAAACGAGAAGAAACGCTAAATTGACAATACTTAGTGTTAAGATTTTATGTGGAAGATTAAGCAGACTCTGTTTTTTTTATTACAAATTATATTTTATTCACACGACACATCTCATAAGAAGAAAATGTAACCATGGTAACGAGTTAACATTAGTAGTACGGCGACACGCAGCTAGTGCTATACCTCAACACCTAATTCTTATTAAAACCTGGTTTTCTGGATCTTATTAAAAACCCTAAAGCGTAAATAGTTTTCCTTATTTTCCTTACTTAAGCTACAGTATCGGCTTTTCAATAACAATCTATTATCGAATACTATGTATTAAATAATGAAAGTTATATAGTATTAAACAATACCAAAATGATAATAAGTCATGGCAGTAGTTGTATGATAACGGCGCGATGATCATAATGTTTAAATTACCTTAAGAATGATGCACTAATTAAAAATATTGGTCAATTCCAAAACATGTAATTTGAGTTTAAGTGAGTTTTTCATCTCAGGATTTCATTTAAGATCATTCTTTTCACTTCTCCTATAAACAGAAAGATTAGATTAAGAAAACTAAATTCTCATACATTTTTCTCGCACTATTGGATTAGCAAAAGAAACAGTTTGGTTTAACATCGCTGACAAAATTTTTGGTGGGTATGCGACCAGTTGTATGAAATGTTTTATTTTGTTAATTTAGTGTTTCTTAATATTTAAACGTGGAATAGCGGTGGCTTGTTAAGTGTTTAACTTCTATCAAAGCGTATAAATGTGTAACTAATCATCATTTTACTGAATCTTTATTTTATCCCAATTCATTACAGTCTCAAATTTCACCCAGATCGCTTAATTTTATTCATAACATAGCCCCTTATTTAAATTTTAAAAAAAACAAGCAAATATGTAAAAGCGTGATACCTTCGCCTTTCCTGTTGGAAAAATGGAAACTCTCTCTGACATGTGACGACTACGGTACGGTAGGTACTCTGACTGACGCGAGTGCATATGACTATATTAAGTGTATAATCTATGCATATGACATTTCAAGATAGTTGACGGTGGCGGCGTGGTTTACACTGTTGAAGCCGGAAATAAGGAGATTCACTAAATATTAGACAAAAACTTCAAAATGAATTTAACTACAGAAATTCAAGCGGATGTGAATTCCTTAGTTCACCAGTATTTAGAAAAAATTGACAAATCGCTGGCCCAGACCTTCATGAAGAAAANGTATAATCTATGCATATGACATTTCAAGATAGTTGACGGTGGCGGCGTGGTTTACACTGTTGAAGCCGGAAATAAGGAGATTCACTAAATATTAGACAAAAACTTCAAAATGAATTTAACTACAGAAATTCAAGCGGATGTGAATTCCTTAGTTCACCAGTATTTAGAAAAAATTGACAAATCGCTGGCCCAGACCTTCATGAAGAAAACTAAAGCGGTTAGTATATAAACCACGTGGGGTCTCCACACGTGTTTTTTTTAAATTTTGTGTGTAATTCGGGAGTTAACATGCTGTATTGATCGTTTGCGATTCTGTTTAGAAGATACCCTAATAAAACATTAACTTCGCGCTAAGCATCGCAGTTTTTCTTGGTTGCACGCTACATTGTATCAGCGCCCCACATGCGGCAGCCGGCTTAATTGGTCTCTTGCTGAACGTCATTTATTCCGCAGACATCGGTCCTCTGTTGGATCCTAAATTATTATACTAACATGTATAAAATGCCACCGAATAAAACTATAGAGCAATTCATTTTTAAACATGCCGACGACATTGGTAGACCCTGTTTGCCTCAGAAGATTTCGTGGTGGGTCTGGTACTGGTTTTTATAATAACAGATGTTGACCCTTTTTTAATTCATTGTTAACAACATTACCAGGATCCAACATATATAGTCACACAATTCTAAACTTTCATGGTTGCTGATAGTGAGCACTGATCTGCCCATTTCTGTATTAAAGCAGCCATTTAATTAATGTGGACTAGGTACTGCTGTGTTGTATTTGAGAATACAATGTCTAATGTTAAGGTGGGACGCTACAATAAAATATCTAATTATTTCAGAGTATTAAAAGGTATAAATAACTACAATTTACTAAGTAGCTTGTAAAATATTTTTTTTAGAAACCACGTGCCAAAAACCAACAAACCCTCTTAGACATCATTGCCAAGTTTAATCAAGCAAATAAAGCAAAAGCTGAAAGGTAAGCCTATTTTCATTGTTACTTAATCATATTGCAGTTATTAGACTGTCATTTAATCTTGTGTAAATTGAATAATAATCTTGTTTAAATTTAGAATTCATCATGGTCTAAAGGATAAGATGCCTGGTGCATTTGTATCAAGCAATGCGAGTGTGCCGGTGTTCGATTCCATAAGCATGTACTAATTTTTCTAATGAAATATTTATTTAACATATGTTCATGAATTACTCCCATGATGAAGCAATAATGTGTTTCGGAATAAAGGATGCAGCAGCCATTGTATTGCAAAAACTGAGACCTTAGAACTCTCAAGGTGGGTGGTGGAATTTAAATTGTTGATTTCTATAGGTTCCAGTAACTGTTTCACACCAGATGGACTGTAAGATTATCCAACGATCTAAGCAATAAAAATATTGGACATGATTCATATTATTTTAGTATTTTGTTTTAGTCTTGTTAGAATGTATTGATAAAGTAGTGCTTGCTAAGAATTTATGAGTTTTGGAATATTATAGATAGTAGCATTGTATTTTTGGCTTCAATTCTCAAAAGTTAAGTAAATATTTTATCCTTCAATTTATAAGTTAGTACAAGTATTTTTAAGGTAAACTGAAAATTATTTAATTTTTGACTCGAAGATTAATGATTTTTAAATATCTTTTTTTTTACCAATACATATATCTTGGGTATCCAACAAAAAATTCAATATATTATAAGTTTTAAAGCACTGATCAGCATATGAGTTTCCTTTTAAAATAAAGAAAACTCAGAATTCAGATTCGATATACAAAATCTGTGGCTAATATAGTTCCAGTGACTCGAGCGAAGAAGATGCCCCTAAGAAACCAACAATTCAAACAAATGGGAAAGTGCCAGCAACTAAGAAAAAAGCTGAAAGTTCAGATTCTGGTAGCTCCGATGATGAGCCACCAAAACAGGTAACAATTTAGTAAATTTTCAGCGTGGAAAATCATAAATAATGTACACTGCTAGTACTTCTTCTTAGATAAACTTCAATGATGTAAACAAGTTTCAATGAACAATTGTGATTTTATAACAATATTCGTCACTACCTCTGAGAATACAATATTTATTTATTTATTTGCCTTGATAAAGATATCAACTATATGTGATTTTTATTGCACTTTTAGGCATCTAAGCCCAACCAAGCAGTTAAAAAACTTAACATTACACCAGCTAAGAAACAAGAATCATCAGATGACAGCGACAGTGATGATGATGTTACGTCAAAACCTAAAAAGCAGCCTGTTAAACCAATAAAAACAAATCCAGTACGTCCACCACAAAAAAAAGAGGAATCATCAGATGACGATAGTAGTGATGATGAATCTGAGAAAAAGGTTCCACAAAAATCAGTTGTTACACCTGCCAAACTTCCAGTCAAACAAACTAATTCTAAAACACCTATTAAACAGAAAGAAGAATCTTCTGATGATGACAGTGATGATAGTGAAGATGATAAAAAGAAACCCCCTGTGTCGAAACCTACATTAAAGGCACAGACAAAAAAACAGGAGTCCTCAGATGACAGTGATGATAGCAGTGATGATAACAAATCAAAAAAGAAACCGGCTCCAAAAGCAACTCCAGCTAAACCTGTAGTTGCCAAAGTTCCTCCTACAAAGAAACAAGAAACCTCAGAAGACAGTGATGATAGCAGTGAAGATGAAAAGGCTAAAACAAAACCAGCCCCTAAACCAACCCCTGCTAAAGCTGCCATTGTAACAAAGAAGAAGGAATCTTCAGAAGATAGCGATGATAGCAGTGAAGATGAAAAACCTAAACCAAAAGCTGTGGTTAAAAGTACTCCTGCAAAACCTGTAAAAAAACAAGAGTCATCAGAAGACAGTGATGATAGTAGTGATGATGAAAAGAAAAAACCTCAAAAACTAGTACAGAAACCTCAAGCAACACCTGTCAAACCAGTTGCAAAACCATCTAACAAGAAAGAATCTTCATCTGAAGATAGTGATGATAGTAGTGAAGATGAAAATGAAAAGAGTCAAAAAGCTCCTACTAAACTTCAAGCCAAACCTACACCTACACCTGTAAAAGCCAAAGCTAAACAGGAATCATCTGATGACAGCGACACTAGTGATGATGAAAAGACCAAACCTGTTCAAAAGACTCCTCAAGTAAAATCAAAACTAACTCCAAAGAAGGAATCGTCAGAAGATGATGAATCTAGTGATGAAGAACAAAAACCACAGCAAAAATCTAAGGCGAAGCTTTCTAAAAAAGCAGAAGCATCAGATGATAGTGATGACAGTGATGATGATGGCCCACCAAGCAAAAAGAAAGCAAAACCTGAACAAGTAATAAATTATCTTATCTTAATCGTTAAATGCACATACTAAGTATTCAAATTNAAGGAATCGTCAGAAGATGATGAATCTAGTGATGAAGAACAAAAACCACAGCAAAAATCTAAGGCGAAGCTTTCTAAAAAAGCAGAAGCATCAGATGATAGTGATGACAGTGATGATGATGGCCCACCAAGCAAAAAGAAAGCAAAACCTGAACAAGTAATAAATTATCTTATCTTAATCGTTAAATGCACATACTAAGTATTCAAATTCATTATTATTGCATTATTTTTAACAGGAAACAGAAAACACTATTCAAACTGGGAAAAAACGGAAAGCCTCCGGAGGTGAAACTGCACCTGCAAAAAAACCATACAATAACTTTGTGAAGGTAACAGTATAATCAATGAAATAAGCATGATATACTAATTTAGGAAGACCAGACAAGGACATATCTGAATCTGACATAATGAAAGGTTGTATGACTAGGGAACTTTATAGACTAAATTTAAATTAGGTCACTTGCTTAAGCATTCAACTGAAAATACTTCATAGATCAAAACTCTGAAATAAAATAAAATTTTTGGGGTTCAATAATAAAATTAAATTATTTCAGGATTTTTTAAGCTAGTCTAATTGTTGTATGTGACATAAGCACTGATGCTCTGTTTATAGAAAGGGTTCCATTTTTATCAGGGAAATCACATTTATTTCTGGAAATAAAATTAGTAGCCTGTAATAAAAAAAAAAACTTAAGAAAATTATGTGTTTTCATGGGAAATTAACACAATAGGAAAATGCTTTCACTAGAAAGCTCTCCAAATATCCACCTGACACACGTAATGAATCTGCTCTTCCTTTTAGAACTGATAGCAAATTAACATAAAGCAAAAATATTGTTTTTAGGTTTTTGTAAAGAACTCAAATAAAATTGCACGATTTACTATCAGACTAGTCTATTGTGCTTAACAAGATTTGAGTACTTAACCAATTATTGCTACATTTTTTATAATAATAATTAATTTACTATCAGACTAGTCTATTGTGCTTAACAAGATTTGAGTACTTAACCAATCATTGCTACATTTTTTATAATAATAATTAATCTGTTTTTATCTTTTTCCATGATTTCTTGGCATTTTTCCAGCATAACTCTATTCTGCTGGAGAAATAAAAACATTATACAGTGGTACCTCAACATACCAGTTTCATTCTGTAACCTTGCTCATATCCGAAAGCAATTTTCCCCATTGAAATTAATTGATATGCCTTTTTTTTTTTTCCTACCTAAGCTGAGAGCCTTGAGAGGCTATTTCAGCGTAACCCTAACGTTTGTAGGTGAGCTCACGGGGCTCAAACCTGATGACGTTGCTAACACGAACCCTAGCAAGAGCCGTGCTTCGCAGAATCTACCACCGGATCGGAAACGCGACTCACTGAGAAGATCCGGCGAGAAACTCAGTGGGCTGTGTCTGAGAGTTAATTTACTCATCGAGCCCTTCGTCGCAAGCGACGGGTTCGACGAGAACGGTGACCGGTGCTTGAAGTACCTAGAAGCACCGTTACTGGATCGGGAGGATCCGAGATGACGTGTTTTTGGCGACGTCGACTGCTTTCCATTCTGTCCGCAGGATTGGGAATGTAGTTACCGGCGGCCACGATGAGAGGGTTCTCGTGTCGTGCCGCTTTATCGAAGTGGCGCATCGACGCCGACTGTAGATACTTACTGATGGACTCTAAGTCCAGGTCGTCATTGAGGTCGACGTTCCTGACGAACCACGGGGCTCCGACAGCTATCCTGCAAAAACGGGATTGAATAATTTGGAAGGATTTTAAGTGAGTGCGGGCCGCGTGAGCGAACACTACACTTGCATAGGTCATGACGGGGCGTATGCAAGTTTTGTAGAGTGTCACCTTATTTCTAAGGGACATTTTACTTCGCCTACATATCATCGGGTAGAGACGTCCTAGAATGAAGGCGGCACGGTCGCGTACAGTCTTGATGTGAGGGCGGAATGTCATCCTACTGTCGAGGGTGACGCCTAAATATTTGACCTTCGGGGCCCACGGTATGGGCTGGTCGAACATCGTGATTGGGCGAATGGCGGAGGCGGAGGTGTTGACGCGCCTAGTCGGGAGAGGGATGCTCAGCGTGGTGTTCGGAGGGCGACCCCTTTTGAAGATCACCGCTGTGCTTTTCGTGGGGTTGATGTCGATGCGCCACTTCCGGAACCACTGTCCCATGGTGGTAGCTGCGGTCTGAAGTCGTCGATGAAGCAACGCCTTCTTCCTACACGAGTAGTAGATGGCGGTGTCATCGGCGAAGAGCGCCAGATGGGTCTCCGGAGACCGGGGTATATCATTGATATACAAACTAAATAGTAACGGGGAGAGGCGGAGCCTTGCGGGACTCCGGCTGTGACGTGACGGGGCCGGGAACGCGTTCCCTCGACTCGATATCGGAACGAACGGTTCGACAAGTAGTCTCGTATGATGAGCACGAGTCTGTCTGGCACTCACATGTTATACAGTTTGTATATCAAACCGTTGTGCCAAACTTTGTCGAACGCCTTCGCTATATCGAAGAAGAGGGCTCCTGTCGGAATGGATTGAAATGCCATTAATCTGTTCCAGCTCTTAAAAAAATCACCTCAGTTGTTTGTGTTAAGGATTTTTGAATAAGAAAAATGTATTTATCAGTACCTGTCATTGACCAAGCCAACTACTCGCACACTTTGCTCAAGCTTTTCTATGATTTCAGGCTTTAATTCCATAGAAATCATCTTCTTCAAAATCATGGTTAAAAAAATAAATAAGATAATGTTTTGTACAAAAGGCCAAAAACGCCAGCCAGCTTTTCAAAAATGCTTCGAAAAGTAGGGAAACAAGCAAGGTCTAGTCTGAGGTGGGAGAAATTGGTAGACGCTGCACACGATCCCAACGTCCGAGGCGCATGTTGGGGTCGGGGGTGTAGTGTGCGATTACTCGTATCTCAAATCTTGCTCTCATCTCAAAGCAAAATATCGCTCTCTCGGCGCCTTGTATCTCAAAACAATCGTATGTTAGGGCACTCCTATATCGAGGTACCCTAACCTCTGTATATACTGTATACATACCTCATGTATACATACCTGTATAATAACCTTTTGTATATACTGTATACAAGATAGTCCATCAATCTTTAAATCTATCTGTGTACAATAAAAATAAAAAAGATTCTCTAACATCATGTAAAATATTATTGCTAATGAACTGCTGCTAACTTTTAGGGTACTAATCATGTTTCAACACCTAAAGAAAAAGAAGGGGCAAACAATAAACCGGTTCCGTTTCGACGCATCGTTAGCGAGGTTGTGGAAGTGGACCCTAGACTTAAGGATAACTCTTTTGAAGCAAAGGTAAATGCCCTAAAGATTGAAAAGCCGAGGCAACTCCATGTGTCACCAAAATATGGAACTTACCTATTTAGGGCTAAGGCTAAAAGTCCTATGGCTCAAAATTTCGGGCATTTACTTTCGTCATAAATGGTAATCACATAGGGTTGTCTTGGTATTAAAATATAAGTACTTCCCATCAGGAGGGCGAGAGTCAAGAAGACGAAGAAGATGGTGACGCATCAGAGGGCAATAAATCAGGCAATTGGAATGACAGGGGGGGGCGAGGTGGATTTAATCGCGGAAGAGGCTTTAATGACCGGGGAAGAGGGGGAAACAGAGGTCGCGGAGGATTTGGGGATAGAGGAGGTCGCGGAGGATTCGGGGATAGAGGAGGTCGCGGCGGCAGAGGGGGCCGTGGTGGATTCGGAGATAGGGGTGGGCGTGGTGGTTTCGGTGACAGGGGTGGACGCGGAGGCTTTAATAGAGGAGGACGAGGAGGAGACCGCGGTGGCCGGGGCGGTGGGGACAGAGGAGGCAACAGACATTCCTGGGGTGGGGACCGTGGAGGTTTCAATAAAGGGGGCTATAACGACAGGAAAAGTTTTGAAGGAGGAGATAACAATTCTCAAAATAAAAAAATTGTGTTTGATTAATAATAGGTGAGACTTATTTAAAAATAATATGAATTACCACAAAAGTCAAAAAAAAATTATTTCGTATTTTTATTTTTCACTTAATTATAATATTTGTATTTGAAAGGGTGGAGCTCGTGGCTCTTGGGGTGAACGAGCAAATCAAGATTTGAAACATACACGAGGGAAGTCATTCAAACATGAGAAGACAAAGAAAAAGCGTGGTTCTTATCGTGGTGGTGCAATCGATACAGGCGTCCACTCTATCAAATTTGAAGATTAAGTTTATAATTACACTTGAACTACCTTTGATGGTATTGTAACTAATTTAAAAGCTAGAAGATTTCATTCATGATAACATTGTTTTAGTTCTGACACTTCATTGTGTATACAACGTTATCTTGTAATATTAATATAGACGGGCGAGGGGAATGCGTCAGTGCTGTAGTTGGCATAACAAAATAAAAAAAAATCCAATTAATTTATTCAAACGTCGTTCCATTCGTAACCACAGCAACACACATAAAAAAAAATTAAATTTTCCGTCCTTGACCAATGACTATCAAAATTCTTAGTAAATAAACTTGCAGATAATAACGCAAATTTAGAATTTAATGTACTTTACGGGGCGACCTTTTTTGAGCACTGACTACGTTCAGCTCGCGTGGCTACTGAGCGTTCGTGTTTTAATAAAATCTTGATGGTAAATTATATATTTTTCTTGTATAGATCAAATGCGTGTTCTATCTAGTTTTCAAATTCAGTGTATGCTTATTTTTTTATCGACTATTGTTATTAGTGTGAGGGAAGTTTGAAGTTAAAGAATGTTTTTATTGTTTAAGTTATACTTGCTATATTCGCTTCAGCCACGGACTACTATTTAATAAGCATTTTCAGTTCTATTTTTAGGTACCTAGTTAAATTCGGATGTTCTAAAACTTTACTTGACATTTGAAAAAAGATTATTATTTTGAGTGCTAGTTGTTAAGTATTTGTAAATAGTGTTCTCGTTTTAAGTGTCACGTATTGTAGTACTAATTAATGTACAAATGATTTATAATTATAGGTTTAAGAAATAAATGTAATTTTGCATTACTGTTAAAGTCCCGCCTTTGAATATAATGTTGAGATACTATTTGGTTGTTTAATTACGTATGTAATTAAATGCTAAATAACGTTAACTGCTATCCTCTTAATCAAAAATTTGATCGTCTATATTCTAGAAGTAACTACTACAACTTCATTACGAGTTAAACATTAACAAATTCTACATTGAAAGCTGAAAAAAAACCTAAATTGAACTCGTTCGCCGCGTCGAATTAAGTTTGAGGTAGGTGCCGGAAACTGTTTTAAAAAGCTACAAAGACAACTCCGTGCCCGTTGCTTGCTAAGGAAAAATAACATTCAGATACTTATTACAATATCACCAGTCACGGCCCCTTACCGGAGCCCACAAATATCACATCGACGGGTGAAAGGCTATCTCTTTTAATTAGAAAACAAATAGAGTAAGACAAAAAAATATAGATCTTGAATTGGTGGTAAAGGAATAAACATACACCGTTCGTAAATGCATGTTATATTGTGAAATAATAAAGCTTCAGACTAAATAAAAAAAATGTACCAGAATTTATCTCACTACCGCGGTTGGCAACCTGCGGCTCGAGAGCCTCATTCGGCTCTAGTTCTATGCGCAAATATTATTTATTTCACAATAAAAAGAAAATCGTTCTGAATCGATTAGAGAGAATTATGCGTCATTTTTATCTTTCAGCAGTCTCCGCTACTTGTACTCACCTTTCACGGCACTGCACATATTTATTTAGTTTTTACATAAATAATAAGTGATTATCTAATATATTGTCATATATAAATCTAATATAATCTAGCATTTAATTAGTTGTGAAAAAACCCTACTTACATATAAATAATCAGCTTTTTATTTGTTAAAAACAAAATATTTATGCAAGTATGTATGTACCTACTATTTATTCTTGCAAGAAAAAATTTGTGGCTTTTTCAAAACTGAAAAATTTGCCTTGTTTAACTCAAAAGGTTGCCGGGCCTGCACTATAGTCGGTCTCTTTCTTTTGTCAAATTCTTAATAAATTCTCAGGCCATAAAATCTTCGGGGACATTTTGGCGGGGAAGTTTTAGAACATGCGAGGAGTGGTATTGTGTGATTTGTTTTATTTTGTCTATTTAGTGTTTTTTCATGTTTAAATGCGTAATAATGGTGGTTTATTTACTGCTTAGTATCTGTGAAAGTGCACAAATGTGGGAAAAAAAAACAAGGCCGCTAGACGTGGCTTCTCGGGATCCTCCAAAAAGTCCACTGACAAAACCACAGTAAATTACCACTATTTTACTGAGATATTTCATGTCATGTTTCATATTAATCAGTTTCATTTCATTTCACTTCATATTATGTTACACATAAAAGATAAGGCCGTATGGTGTGACACCTTTGCTTTTCCAGTACAATCTTCAAGAAAAATCTGACAAAGTGGCAGTGCCAAAAAAGTGACAGACTTAAAACAGGTGATAGGTGTAAAAAAACACAACTACAGTACATGGTACGGTACATAATAATACTATTTTTCAAATATTACGTGTATTATTTATGATACTATTGTTATAATAGTATTATTACTATTGTTATGTAGTAACTAATAATTATATTAACCTGTGCTATTTTACAACGCATAGATAATTTCATAATTCATAATACACTAAATATTTGGTACAACGCGTAGTACTTACCTAGACCCTGAACTTAATTTGCCTATATAAACAAAGAAAGTAATTTAAAATATCATCTTACGAAATACTGTAGGTATATCGATACAATTCTTGCCAATATAAATAGCTTAATCTTGTTAATTTAAAGCTACTAAATAATACTACGCTACTTTCATGTCAAATGTTTGTTACAATTTATCATTGCATGAAATGTGTAACCGTACCGTTACGAAAATTCTTAATAAGACTGCTTATGTTTAAATGAATAGAGAGATAGATATGCCCTTTTTTACCTAAGTTAAAGTAAAATATTAGGTGTTATCTTTTTCTAAAAGTAATATTAAAGTAACATTTGAATGTACAATCTAGATGATTTAGTAGACCTTTATATCAATTGTCTGGCAAAAAAAACCAGTTGGTTCAAATTTATCCCAATGGTGCTCTGAAAAAGTATGTTGACCCTAAATCCTTTGAATTTGGGTCCCCTATATCTGCATAGTTTCTTCTGTTTTTAATACCACTCTCCCATTTACTTGTCGAATAACAGTTCAACTCAGTCACCAAAGTATAATAATATGACTAATTTGCAGGGCAATACTTTGCATAAAGACTATAATTTGCAATTAATTGTTACAAACAATCAATCAAGTTAAGTTAGCTGATCATGAAACTGTGGCACCAGTCAAGAATACTACAACTAAACAACATTAGGACTTTTAAAAATTTTGGTCATAAGAAAGAGCCAATCCCTACAGTTACTTTTTTGTGGCATGGATTCCTCACCTTCACATTCATGGGATTGTGTCTCGATTGGAAAAGGTATTTATTTTCTGTTTAAATGAAATTATTTAAATGTCTTTAAATATTTACTGATTTTAAATAGCTAAAGTATACTCATAAGTATACTCTTTTAATTTTGACATAATCTTACTATAATATTTTAATACTATTACTTATGTTTTTTTATGAAAAAGGAATGCATCTGGAACAGAACTCTACACCACCCTCAGTTGAGCGGTAGAGAATACCTTAGGCATTAAGTCCTAATTAAGTAATAAATAAACAATATTCATAACTTTACGTTCTTAACATTGTTAAGACTTTGAAAGCCCAGTTCAGACTCAATAAGTGGTACTGAAATTTTGGTGCATCCTAGAAGTAGTTCTAGCCTTCAGACTACTAAGACAATTGAAACTATCCTCGTAAATTCTGGCGTTAAGGTAACCCAAGACGCCACACTTTCCTACTGAGCGGCATATGGTCGCCGCTGATTCCAAGCCGAGATGAGGAGGAGACTATTTGCTCAGTCCAGTCGGGCTCTTCACCCCTTAAAGGGGCCCTTTTGACCTCGACTTACAGAAGACCGAGCGAACGAATATATGAATGCAACCTTCTATAGCAACATATGTGTAAAGCAGTTTTTATGTAGTCTTGTTAAGGCCCTGGTCAGTTACGGCACACGCAACGAAACATTAAGGGTCACGGCACACTATGCAAGCACGGCAACGGCACCGTTCCAAACCAGCGATTAGCTTGTCATTTGAATTTGATCCTTAAATCGTATGTCGTATAATATGTTTCATAAGGTAAACATAAGACGCCAACAGCGGCAGCTAGCGGTAGCCAAAATTCAATACAGAGCCGTGTCGCAGCTGTGCCGTTACAGTGCCAGGCCAAAAATTGCTTTCTCTGGCGCCACTGTCTTGAACTCGGCGAAGCGACAAGTCGGTTTCGACCTCTACGACCAGTGTGCTTAGTGCGAGGCTTTAAACTTTTTCGATAGCGTAAAAGTTAACTCAAATTTGTATGCAGTTGGATCAGCGTCCCTAGCGACAAACGTAGGCAAACGTTCCAACTCCATACAAACTTGAGTTATCTTTTACGCTATCGAGAACGTTAAAAAATTGGCACTAAACACAACGCCTATGTGGATCAGTCAACAATAGTGTTTATTGAGAAAATTATGTAGATTTACAATATAAATAAATGTTTCCGTGTTTTAAAAATGATAAAGCCATAAATTATTACGAAGAACTTACATAACATCATTGTTTTCAGAATTGGATCATTTATATTTAACAAGAAGGAACATGACGATTCCAGTACCTGAATATACAATAATAACTTGTAAGACGTAGTTGTCTAATGTAAAAAATTGTACCTTATTATAGAAAATTATGTAAATAAACTTTTGTTTGTCTAGTTCGTAGCTTGTTTTAGTGATTGGATAATTTTGTAAGAGTGGATTCTTAAGATTATTTTTTATATTCTGAAATTGCATAACTGAATTTTGTTTGAACCTTAGAAATTTAAGTGTATTATTTTTATTCGGTTCCATAACGGTATTTCATGTGGGTGAAATTTCATTGCAAGACCTAATAGTTGTCTCGTCCTGCTTTTTTCCCTGCCTATTTGCTGGTAGCTCACTGGAGGTAGGGCCTCTTGGGGTACCAATTTTTCTAATGAAATACGTACTCAACAAATGTTCACGATTGACTTCCACGGTGAAAGAATAACATCGTGTAATAAAAATCAAATCCGAAAAATTATAATTTGCGTAATTACTGGTGGCGAGACCGTACGGGTACCACCACCCACCTATATCTGCCGTGAAGCAGTAATGCGTTTCGGTTCGAAGGGTGGGGTAGCCGTTGTAACTATACTGAGACCTTAGAACTTATATCTCGAGGTGGGTGGCGCATTTACGTTATAGATGTCTATGGGCTCCAGTAACCACTTAACACCAGGTGGGCTGTGAGCTCGTCCATCCATCTAAGCAATAAAAAAAAGCCTAGGGAACTATTCCAACTACGTTCGGACGGGTAGGTGAGCTCACGAGCTCAACCTGAGTGANGTAGCCGTTTTAACTATACTGAGACCTTAGAACTTATATCTCGAGGTGGGTGGCGCATTTACGTTATAGATGTCTATGGGCTCCAGTAACCACTTAACACCAGGTGGGCTGTGAGCTCGTCCATCCATCTAAGCAATAAAAAAAAGCCTAGGGAACTATTCCAACTACGTTCGGACGGGTAGGTGAGCTCACGAGCTCAACCTGAGTGAATTTGCAAACACTAACTAGCCCTAGCAAGAGCAGTGCTTCGCAGAATCTACCACCCGATCTGAATAGTGACCCACTGAGAAGATCCGACAAGAAACTCAGTGGGCTGTGTCTATGGATTAGTTCGTTCGTCCAACTCTTCGTCCTTATCGACGAGTTCAACGAGAACAGGGACCGGTTTTTGATCCGACAAGACATGTTTCGGGCGACGGCGGCTCTGCGTTGCCCCGTCTCCTGGGTTGGATAGGCAATTAGCGTTGGATGGCTGTACTATGAGGATTATCGTGTCGCGCCGCTTTGTCGAAGTAGCGTTCTGACGCTACCTTGAGATACTTACGTATCGGTT